CAATGCATGTAACAGGCTGAAGTTGACACGTCATCTTAGAACATCAACAACCAACGCACCTGGGGTACTAGCACATCAAATGTTGACATGGAAAGTCCATGACCAAATTTTGATATATGACGAAGTCGGAGTGAGAATGTGTTGGCAATTTAAGCTGAACACTGTAAATATACCTGTTGTCTTGATAAAGTCAGGATAATGTGTGTTACACAACATATGACCAAAGTGTTTACTTTCACTTACATTTGCTTCGCAGTAGCTTTGCTCCTGTGGAAACAGAAGTGTATTTAGAAAAGACACAATGCATGTAACTGATGTAAATTGAAACGCCATCCCAGAACATCAACAACAGACACATGAGGATACCTAGCACGTCATATGTAGACATGAAAGTCCACTGACAAAGTGGCCGTATTTGACAAAATGGGATGAGAACACATTGAAAAAAACAGGAACAACACCCACAAACAAATTCACCTTGATTTAAATGTACACATGCCATGGGTACAGCTCTATTGTGACTGACGGGTTGCTGTAGTAGTGATTTATCAAACAAAACATTGCCACAGCCTAATGCGTATTGCGTACCCTGCTTAATGGGTTTATTTTACTCTAAATGGGTTCATAATTGAGAAAGCGAACATCATACTGTATTGGAGAAGAACTGAAACTAACGACTGAGATCATAAACTCATTAGGAAACTGTTTACTGCGGTAAAAAACAAAAAGTGAGAAGTTGGGTCATTTTCTCATAGACTCAGAGACCAGTGGAGTCTCTCCCTGCTGGCTGTTAGAAAAAAATGTAGGTTTAAAGCACTTCCCCATCAGCTTTGCTTTTCAGACCCAGAGGCTACGTCCACTTCTTTTATACAGTCGACGATAGACACTGATTGAAAAAACTAGATGGCAGCAATTGGAAGTAATTAATAAATGAGAGCAGTATTTGTGTATTTCTGAGAGCCACAGAGTGGTCAGGGTGGTGAGTGTCACATGATTCTGTTAAAATGCACAATATTCTGTACTTCTACCATCGAGTAGCGTGCAGGTAATTCCATCCAATTCCACCAGTCATTTTTACTCTGCCTTTATTAATGGCCAGCCCTTATGTGTTCCTGCTTCCATATTATTTGAATAATCAAGCATAGCCTCAGTTTAGGTTGAGCACTGACATTGTGCTTGTATTAGCTGATTGGTACCAGCTGTGTCATTAATTCTCCGCAATCACTGACTCATTCACAGCTAATAACATACAATCATATTCACCCAGGTATACAGTGCAGCCATCATAATCTGACGCTTCTCACTGTAACTCTTCTGGTACACTCAAGCCAACAGCTCCCTCCACCATCTCAACCTGTTTATGTGCTATGTTTTTGGTCTTGTTGATTTAACTTATGTAGTGTTCATGTATGTGGTTATTAGGGGGGATTAGTTGTCCTGCTTGAGTTCTATGGGGCAGCTTGGCAGCTGTTGGGGCTTTTATTTGAAACCTTATTAATGATTATATCAGGAGGTTTGGACTGGAGTCACATGACTCCGACTTGAGTCAGACTCGAGTCACAAATTAGATGACTTTAGACTCAACAAAATCAAAAAGGACTTGCAATTTGACTTGGACTTTGGACCAGTGATTCATGACTTCACTTGGACTCAACCCCTTTGACTAGAAAGCACTTGATAGTTTCCTCCAAGCCCAAATATTTAAAAGTATGTTATTTAAACCACACATTCTCGCTTGTCACTCATCACTCATCACTAGTAAGTGATGTAAATAAGTGCTAAGTAAGTAAGTAAACAAAATATGAAATTGGTCCACCGCTATCATCTAAAATGGAACAAATTAAAGAATATTTGTACAGCATTTGTTTTCATCTATGTCAAGTAACGTTACAGAATCTGTTAGTGTTGTCACGGTACCAAAATTGGAACCCACGGTACGATACCAGTGAAAGTATCACGGTGTGCCTTTTGTCATTTATAAAAAGATAAATCACTTTTCTATAATACATAAATGATATTTCAATGGAATAAATGACTTACTGACTTATTCAAAAACAGCATCAATAAGTGATTTACATAGGGGGAATCAAAATAAAATAAATAAATGAAATAAAAATCAACCAGCCACCATCCTCCCCTGACAAGTTAAGAACAGTCCCTTATGTGCGGTGAGGTTTGTGGAAATGTGAACGGCTCGTTTCTCCTCTGACACGTCACATACCTGTGTGCCGCCATGGCTCTGCTGTTCAGGTACTTTGGCCTGAACTATGGCCGCCGTATTTCACAGGAATACATATTCCTGGGCATGTCTGTGTCTGTGACCCCCATTCAACCCACAACCGGCAGGACTCACCTTTCATTTCTGCTGCTGGTTGAAATCTGTACTCGCACAGCATGCTGAATGATTTATTTTGCTCGCACAAAACTATTTTTAGTCGCAAATGCGAGTAACGTTAAAATGCTCGCACAGTAGAGCCCTGTAGTGGAAAACAAATCACTGTAGCATTGGTGGTGTTTCCGCCCTTGCATGTAATTACGGTGCTGCATAAATTGCACGTCATGCTGTTGTGATGAGTGAATGTCATGAGTCTTTTTTGGTGAAGTGAAGCCAAGCTTTCGACCGCTTCTGTCTCTCCACCATTACGTCTTCTTTGCTGTTGAACGTACTGCTGACTGACGAGCGTGATGTGCGTCATCGACGTAAAGATTCGGCGTAATGAAAAGAATCGATAAGGGAATCGTTAAGCATAAAGGCTAATGATGTCGATGAATTGAACCAGTTGGAACCAGTTCTTAACAGGAACCGGTTCTCGATTCCCATCCCTACTCATCACATATTGATAATTGGTCATGGACTTAAGGCATGCAAAGTACCCTGGGTGTGTTGGCTGTTGATGTTCTGGGATGCCGTGTCAACTTCAGCCTGTTACATGCATTGTCTTTTTTTCAAAATACACTTCAGTTTTCACAGGAAATGTATAGTTTGCATACAGTCTCTTTCAAAATAAACCCACTACCTCAGTACAACACTGCAAATTGATGTTGGGTTATGTGGTTACGTTTAGCCAACACACACGTTGTTGGGTTTAAGAAAAAAGAACAGGGTTTCTTTCTCTTTACAATCTTATGGTAAGCCAACACAGGCCTCCCTGTTGGACCCATCAACCATCCCTCCTGCCTACCCTACTTGGACTTCCGCTACCTTAAGTTTTGTTGTTGTCCAGCCACGTTTCCCCCTGATGCCGCCGGGCACTGTGAAACAATAATGGGGACCGGCCGTGTATCATACCAATGTGAGAAGACAATTTTTTTCATTAGTGCCTGGTGTGAGAAGTCACTGACCACGCGCCGGATTTTGACTTCGGAGTGATACTGGGCTGATTCAAAAAAGTGTGCCACAAATTAATTCACTTCGATTCATTTTCTGATTCAGCTCATTTTTACACTATTCCCATGAAGTCGACACTTGCACACGCATTTTTCTGGGTTTTTTTCGTCTGAAATTGTGTATCTAAAAATAAGTATGACCTGACATTGTGCCAATCACGTTTGCACAACGACACTGAAACTTTCGTCTGTCGATAGCCAATAGAGGGCGGCACGGTGGTGTGGTGGTTAGCACTCTCACCTCACAGCAAGAGGGTTGCCGGTTTGATCCCGGGCGTGGGAGCCCTTCTGTGCGGAGTTTGCATGTTCTCCCCGTTTCAGCGTGGGTTCTCTCCGGGCACTCCGGCTTCCTCCCACAGTCCAAAGACATGCAGACTGGGGACTAGGTTAATTGATGACTCTATATTGTCCATAGGTGTGAATGTGAGCGTGAATGGTTGTTTGTCTCTATGTGTCAGCCCTGCGATAGTCTGGCGACTTGTCCAGGGTGTACCCTGCCTCTCGCCCGATGTCAGCTGGGATAGGCTCCAGCCCCCCCGCGACCCTCAAGAGGATGAAGCGGTTAGAAGATGAATGAATGAATGAATGATAGCCAATAGAACAATAGTCTAGGCTTATATTTACACAGCAAGTTAACGATTCACTAATGTTATTACTCTGGTGTTAAAATTCAATTAAACTCAATAGAACTTTATTTATTCTGAAGGAAATTATTGTACCAGAGAATGCCTCAAAATGGCATTACGTTTGGACTTGAAACTAAAAGTTTTGGACTTGGGACTTGTCAGTCTTGATTTGGGACTTCATCCATCCATCCATCCATCCATCCATCCATTTTCAACTGCCTGAGCAAGTACTTCAGATGTCCCTCTCCCCAGCAACGCTTTCCAGCTCCTCCTGGGAGATCTCGAGGTGTTCCCAAGCCAGATGAGATATATAATCCCTCCAGCGTGTCTGGGTCTGCCCTGGGGCCTCCCACCAGTTGGATGTGCCCGGAACACCTCGAATGGCAGGCACCCAGGAGGTATTCTGATCAGATGCCTGAACCACCTCAATGCAGAGGAGCAAAGGAGCAGCAGCTCTAAGTAACACTTTATATTAAGGTATTGTAATAAGCGCTAATTAATGCTTAATAAGCACAAATTAACAGTTAATGAGCATGTATAAGACGGTATAAGAAGCTTATTAACATTAATAAGACTAGACTAAGTGTTTATTACAACATAACTGACTGAGTTATTGTTGCTTATAGGAGCATTATGAGCATTTAATAGAAACTTTGGTAACAGTTTATAAACCTATACTTAATATTAATAAGATGTCTATTTACATTAATTATAATTTATAAGGGTTAATTATAGAATAATAAACACATTTATTACTGATTTATAAGACACTATAAGACCTATAAGATGAAATGAATAAGGTGCTTATTAACATTAATGAGACTATAAGAAGTTAATATAAATTCCATATTACAGTTAATAAATGCTTTATTATGCACTTATTAATAGTAAATAATGATCCTTTGCAGCTACTGGATCTAAAGTGGGAACAGTCTTGTTGTGTTTAGGTTTTGTGTTTGGACCCCAAATGCAGAGACAGAAGCAAAAAACAGTCCACAGTGTTTATTGAAAAAACCCTAAGTTCAAAAAATCAGAAAAGGGAGCAAATGGAGGCAGCGGAGTGCTGGCTGGCGTTGCTGGAAACGGACGCAGCATGCGGAGACACTGAAGCACTGGAAGCTGCAATCAGGTACGGCAGGAGGCACACCAGCGGCTGCACAAAAAACAAAGAACGCTTAAGAGTGACGAAAAAACACGAAATTCACTTTTACATAAATGACTGGAGCCACTACGTTACCGACTGAGACGGGATAATCTGGCACAGGAGTGGCATCTTGACCAGGCTTTTATTGCAGGAGTGATTACTGAATGAACACCAGGTGTGCCTCATTATGAAGAGCTGGCCAGCCACACCCTCAGCTGCACACACACTGCCAGGGAGAGAAAAGGGAGGGGGAAAGGGAAAGAAAAACATAGAACATCCCAAACACAAAACCAAACACCAAAACAAACGTTATCATGACATTACCCCCCCCCCCCTCAACGGACGCCACCCGGCGGCCTACCGGGCTTGTCCGGGAAGTCCCGATAAAAGTCATTCAGGAGGTCCGGGTCCAAAATCAAGGAGCGGCATACCCAAGACCGCTCCTCCGGACCGTACCCCTCCCAGTCCACCAGGTACTGATACCCCCGGCTCCATCTGCGGACGTCTAGCAGCTGCCAAACAGAGTAAGCAGGATGGTCGTCAATGAGCCGGGGGGGCAGAGGGGGCTCGGCCAGAGAGCACAGAGCACTGGTAGCGACTGGCTTCAACAAGGACACGTGAAAAGCAGGGTGAACATGCAATGCTGGAGGCAATTTGAGTCTCATCACACTGGGATTGATCACTTTGTCAATTTCATATGGGCTGATGTAGCTGGGAGCCAGCTTCCTACTCTCAATCTGCAGAGGGAGGTCGTGAGAAGAGAGCCAAACCTTCTGGCCAGGCTGATAGTGGGGAGCTGGAGAGCGATGTCGGTCTGCCAACCGCTGGTTGCGAGCAGCAGTGTGTGTGAGGGCCACCCTAGCCTCACGCCAGACCCGGCGAGCCTGCCAAAGATGTTCCTGGACCGAGTGGACTGCCACTTCATTCTCCTGGACTGAGAAGAGAGAAAGTTGGAAACCCGTGGAAGCCATGAAGGGAGACATACCTGTGGCAGAGTTGACCAGGGAGTTGTGGGCGTATTCCACCCAGGGTAGATGGGTGGACCAAGAGGCATGACGTCTTGAAGTGATACACTGGAGAGCTGACTCGAGGTCCTGATTGGCCCGCTCCATCTGGCCGTTGGTCTGCGGATGGTACCCAGACGAGAGGCTAGCTGACGCCCCCAACGCCTGGCAAAAAGCCCTCCAGACTTGGGAGGTGAACTGGGGACCCCGGTCGGAAACATTGTCCTGGGGGATGCCATGGAGTCTGAACACGTGCTGGATGAGGAGGTTGGCAGTCTCTAAAGCAGACGGGAGTTTGGACAGGGGGACAAAATGCACAGTCTTGGAAAAATGATCAACAATGGTTAAAATAACTGTGTTACCCTCTGAAGGTGGGAGTCCAGTAACGAAGTCCACAGCAATGTGGGACCAGGGATGATGAGGAATAGGCAAGGGGTGTAGGAGGCCAGCAGGTGTTTGATGAGAAGATTTGCTACGAGCACAGACGGAGCAGGCGGAGACAAACTCTCTGGTGTCAGCTGTGATGGTTGGCCACCAAAACTCCGCCGGAGCAGGGTGAGGGTCCAGAGGAAACCAGGATGGCAGGCAACCTTGGATGCATGTCCCCACTGGAGCACAGGTGACCTGGCAGAAGGCGGGATGAACAACCAGTTGGGGGGAGAGTTCTCAGGGGTCAGTTGGTCACATTGGGCCTCTTTAACTACCTGCTCAATCTCCCACCTGGCAGCTCCAACCACACAGGAGGAAGGGAGGATGGTTTCTTCGGGTGAGGCTTCCACAGGAGGAGTGAACTGGCGGGATAAGGCGTCAGGCTTAACATTCCAGGACCCAGGGCGGTGGGGAAGGGTGAACTGGAATCGACCCAGGAACAAAGCCCACCAAGCCTGGCATGAGTTCAAACGGCGAGCTGACTGCAGGTAAGAGAGGTTCTTGTGGTCAGTCCATACCACAAATGGGTGTATGGAGCCCTCCAGCCAATGTCTCCACTCCTGTAGGGCGAGGACAACAGCCAGTAGCTCCCTGTTGCCAACGTCATAGTTTGTCTCTGCTGGCGTGAGTCGACGAGAGAAATAAGCACATGGGTGAATCTTTTGGTCTTCAGGTGAGCGTTGGGAGAGCACAGCACCAACGCCGGTGTCAGAGGCATCAATCTCCACCACAAACTGAAGAGAAGGATCTGGGTGGGAAAGCACAGGTGCAGAGGTAAACAGACACTTAAACTGTTTAAATGCAGCGTTAGCTGCCTGACACCACACAAAAGGGTGCTTGGAGGAGGCTAACTGAGTAAGTGGCAATGCTACTTGACTGTAGTTGCAAATAAATCTCCTATAGAAGTCTGCAAAACCCAAAAACCTCTGGAGTTGCTTCCTGGTGGAAGGGATAGGCCACTCAGCCACGGCCTGGACCTTGGCAGGATCCGCTTTCAACTGTCCTTTCTCCACCACAAAACCTAGAAAACATTTCTCGGCTTTCACAAAGAGTCTGTTCTCTAACAGTCTTTTCAACACTAGTCTCACATGTTGCACATGTTCATCCAAGTCTCTGGAAAAAAATCAAAATGTCATCCAAGTAAACAAACACGAATCTGTTGAGCATATCTCGTAATACATCATTAATGAGTGCTTGGAAGATGGCAGGGGCATTGGTTAAGCCGAAGGGCATGACCAGATACTCAAAGTGTCCGGGTGGAGTGTTGAAAGCCGTCTTCCACTCATCTCCCTCCTTGATTCTGATGAGGTGATAGGCGTTGCGGAGATCCAGTTTAGAAAAAATGGTGGACTGATGTAGGGGACCAAAAGCGTAATCTATGAGTGGAAGTGGATACTTATTGACAGTAATATCGTTGAGCCCTCTGAAGTCTATGCACGGACACAAAGTTTTGTCCTTCTTGTCGACAAAGAAAAAACCTGCTCAGGTGAGGAGGAAGGACGGATTAGACCTGCTGCTAGAGAGTCTGTGATGTACTGCTCCATGGATTCTTTTTCAGGCTTGGATAAACTGTAAATTTTTTTTGGATGGAAGGGGGGCGCCAGGGAGTAACTCAATGGAGCAATCATATGGTCGATGTGGAGGCAGAGAGAGGGCTCGGTCTTTGCTGAAAACCTCCTGGAGGTCGTGATAAACTGAGGGAACGTTAGACTAGTCTATAGGTTTTGGTGGCACAGGGGGTGAAAGGTCACTTGAGGGGGTAGCTGAGTGTAAACAGTGAGAGTGGCAGAATGTACTCCAATTGGTGATGGATAATGTGGACCAGTCAATATGGGGGTTGTGTAACTTGAGCCAGGGGAGACCGAGGACTAAAGGAGATGTAGGTGAGGGAATGACAAATAGAGAAATGATTTCATGGTGGTTACCTGAGAGCTGGAGGGACATGGGAGCAGTACGATGAGTGACACAAGCGAGTAACTGTCCATTTAAGGCAAAAACCTCCTTAGGCTCAGGGAGAGTCTCTGTGGGCAAATTAGCTTGGGTACACAGTTCAAAGTCAATAAAATTGTCATCTGCTCCACTATTGACTAAAACTTGCAGAGGTACAGAGTTCTGAGGAAACCTGAGCATACCTTGCAGCTGAATCCGAGTGGAGGGTGTGGTGGAAGAAGTGGTAGGGCTCATCAGCGCCCCCCCGGTGGCTGATGAGCCGGCTCTTTTGGCAGCTGGGGGCAGAATGCGAGGAAATGGCCGGGCTGACGGCAGTAAATGCAGAGCCGGTGCCTGACTCTGCGTTCCCATTCTGCTTGTGATAGTCTCATCCTCCCCAACTGCATGGGCTCCTCAATGCAGTGGGAGGAGGAAAAACTTGGACCTGGAGCTGGCGCTGGAACTGGAGTGATGTCACGGGAGGCACAGAAGGGGGCAGCAGAAGACAGTGAGTTGGTTTGAGCAGCGGAGAGGGGGACACCCTGTCTTCCTACTCTCTCCCTACGTCTCTCTCGCAGCCAGTTATCTAGTCGGATGGCTAAAGAAATCAGTTCATCTAGAGACTGGGTCTCATCTCGTGCAGCTAATTCATCCTTAACATTGTCTGCTAACCCTTTAAGGAAAACGCTCTGTAAAGCGATCTCATTCCACCCGCTCTCGGCTGCTAAAATGCGGAAATCGATGGCATATTGGGAGACTGGAGCGGCACCCTGGCGGAGGGAAAGGAGCCGATTACCGGCTCCTTTACCCCTACACTTTGCGTATCTCAGTGACAAAGGAGTGATAAGACTGAGTAACAGCGGAATCGTTGGCAGAGATAGCTAAAGCCCAAGAGGAAGCCCGGTCAGACAACAAACTCATGACGAAGGCTATTTTAGATTTCTCAGTTGAATAAGTCTGGGGCTGCTGATCAAACACTAGAGAACACTGGTGCAAAAACTGACTACATGTCCCTAGGTCACCTGAATATCTGACTGGAGTGGGGATGTAGGGTTCACGGGAAAGACCAGGTGGGGAGGCTGAAGGAACCGCAGCAGGGGCTGAAGAGGCTTGTGGATCCCCGGGAGAAGCCAAACTGGAGATCTGGTTGACGACCTGATCCAAGCGACCGCCAAGCTGAGTTACACTGGTGGAGAGGTTCTTTAGAGTGTCCATAATTTCACGGATAACTTGTTCGTGTTGGCCAACACGAGCGCCTTGAATAGAAAGAGCCTGTCGTAATCTGTCTGTTTCCGCGGGGTCCATGTCGTGGCCAGATTATTCTGTTGTGTTTAGGTTTTGTGTTTGGACCCCAAATGCAGAGACAGAAGCAAAAAAACAGTCCACAGTGTTTATTGAAAAAACACTAAGTTCAAAAAATCAGAAAAGGGAGCAAATGGAGGCAGCGGAGGGCTGGCTGGCGTTGCTGGAAACGGACGCAGCATGCGGAGACACTGAAGCACTGGAAGCTGCAATCAGGTACGGCAGGAGGCACACCAGCGGCTGCACAAAAAACAAAGAACACTTAAGAGTGACGAAAAAACACGAAATTCACTTTTACATAAACGACTGGAGCCACTACGTTACCAACTGAGACGGGATAATCTGGCACAGGAGTGGCGTCTTAACCAGGCTTTTATTGTAGGAGTGATTACTGAATGAACACCAGGTGTGCCTCATTATGAAGAGCCGGCCAGCCACACCCTCAGCTGCACACACTGCCAGGGAGAGAAAAGGGAGGGGGAAAGGGAAAGAAAAAACACAGAACATCCCAAACACAAAACCAAACACCAAAACAAACATTATCATGACAAGTCTCTTGTTGACATTCATAAACTCTTTATTATGCACTCACTGAAGTTAATAATTCTATTAATTATGCACCTATTGCAACATCCAGATATCAATCATTATTTCAACATTAAAGAATTCTGATGTGTTCTTTTCACTCTAGTATGTTATTATTTTCTTTAGCAAAGGATCATGGGAATTTCATTTCCTCAAAATGGCAAACTAAGACAAACATGAGTTATTTGAACTTTGAACAACATAAGGACATATTTCCTTTTCATATTGATTTTTAATGCAACCACTATTGTCAAAAACAGGAAAACAGGATTGGGAACCCTAATAGTTGAGTTCTAAAAAAACGACAGATCTGAGTTCATTTGGCTTTTTCAAAAGTTTTGTTAATTAGATAGACTGTTCGTGAATACAGTGTTCCACAAAGCTCCCTGTAACCCATCAGTTTTCTGAAAGTGAGTGACAAAAGTCTCAACATCAGCCAGGCCAAAAGTGGCCAGGTCAGTGATGTCTTCAGGCCAGTTGCTTAGGTCAAACATGGTGGCAGCGGCCTTCAAGACACCCTCATCAAGGTTGCCAAACCGCATGGTGAGGTTGTTACGGAAGCCACTGATAAGTTTATCTTTCACTTTGTGGAAGTCATTGTCATCCACTTGTTTCCTGTTGAGTTTTACACCAGAGAAGGTGTTTCCGGGGAAAGGTCCCACTTCATCCAGGAACTGCTTCAGATGCTGACCTGGGACTGTCTGAAATGCAGAGGAAAAAAACTTTCACTGTCACAGTTGCTAAACATACACCGTAGCATATTAATTCCTCTCCTCCTCTCTTTTGTTTACCTGCATGGCTACAAGAACCAGGGTCGTCTTCTGCAGTCCATCTGACACCATCTGCAATGTCAGCCCATCCCTCTGAAAGAGAAGGCTCAGAATTAAACCCATAAACACATTTAATCTAAGAAAAACAGATAAATGGTTGCTCTGTGTTGTAGAGTGTAGATCAAAAAATGTGTATCGGGTGCTCTTGGAAAAAAAGGAGGGAAATCCAAAATACTGCAAACAGGAAAAGAACCCAGGCACTCCAAAACAAAAAATGAGAATGAGGAAGGAAAGATTAGACTAAAAAGCCTTTATTATAATGGCCAACTCATTAAAAAGCCAACATGTTTCGACCACTGTTGGTCTTCATCAGGGCTGGAGAAACAGATGCACCAAGGTGTGGTTTCATCTATATAGTAGCAGCAGCCAATAAGAAACTATCACATGACACAGTTAATGACATGACAGGTGAAGCCAATGAACCATGATAATAAATCACAGAGATCTAATCTAACTTTGCTTGTTTTTAATCCACAGCCTAGTACTGAAATTTTCTCACAATGGTTTCACAAGAGTGATAATAAAACACTTACACACTGGGCCTGATACAAACTTCAATTGCCAAAATGTATGAAATGATCCTTTATCCTTAGAGGAATGAAGTCAGTCTATGGCGTTAGCAAATCAGCAGGAGTTAGCATGAACATGACGCAGCCTATATCCATTAGCATGGTCAACATAACACACAGCTCATCGATGCTCCTAACACAGTGACTCTGCTCATCTTGCTTCACACAATTTACTGTCACTCTTGTATCTCAACCATATGCATCTTCACACACATTTCACTCCCTTTATCTCACACAAAACGTCATTAGCGACGCACTTAGCTACAGAAGTTATTTCCAGCGGCACCCTCCACGTGCCGCGACACACACACACACACTCTCTTAATCACGGTCAAAGTCATTGTCTCTGAGTGTCACAATTACACACTAAGGTTCTGCTAAAACATACTACTGTGAACTGGGTGTTCATTATACTCAGCTTACCTGTAGGAAATTTAGAAATATGACTGGCTGCTAGTTCAAGCATGACCTTCATCTCTGTAGCTAAAGTTGCTAGCCTAATTATTACTGACTGAATGAACCAAGTACACCTCTTCTGATTAACTATAACGTTAATGTTACTGTCATTATCATAAACATCAAAATTTAGAACACACAGTCACATTTTATAACTTTGTAAGGCCAACATGTACATGATTAGCTGAGTTGCTAGTGTTAGCTATCACAAAGAACTAGAACTAACTAAAAATCAACAAGCTAACGTTAGCCTATAGCCTAACATTACTTTAACAAACTAACTTACCACAGGGGCAGAAACAGATGAAACATCGTCTTCAGAGTCCCGACGCCAAGTGTTGCATCCTACTATAACTGGAGTGGCACTGGAGGAGCTTGCATCAGTTTTTTCAACCATCTCAGCATTGCTAGGTTCTGTCCTCTGATGTGGAGTGGCAAGCATAGCTGGCGATTGGCATCCAGCGTGACTGTCATCCAGTGAGTTGAACAAAAGCGGAACAAAACGTCCACCTGAAGACGACCAGGATGCGACATTACCTCTTAAGAAACAACGGTTGTTGGTGAAGAAGTTGTCGGATAAAGAAAAGGACAGAACTCGGATTTCCAAGATGCATTTCCAAGGTAGAGAGCACTGCGAGAGCTAAAGGGACTACAATTTGACTCAGAGCTAGCTCTTCTTCTCCTGGACAGGCAACATTAAGTAACAACATAAAGTCAAATGTCTGTTTTAATTAGTGTTATAGTAACGTTAGGCACATGTCGCTATGTCGATTCAATTAAATTTAATGTTACAATCGTAGCATGGGTTAATGTCCGGAGCTTGAGTTATTAGCGGCTCTGTCCCATCCCATCAATGGGTCAGGCGTTACGGTTGTGTTAGGTGAGCAGCCCGGCAGCCCAGCTAACATTTGCAATTAGCATTGTAAAATGTAGTCCGGCGGGCAGCTTGGCGGGCTGTGTTTAGCTATTCCCCTGCCTACTTCAATGATGATGGTCCCTGTAATAAATGTAATATATTTGCTGAGATGGAGACGAGGCTCAGTGACTAGAAGAGCTGGTAGAAGTGCTCCATAGCTGTAAGTTACTCCAGTAGCCGTAGTAGCTCTAGTGCTAACTCAAGGAGCTAACGCTAACGTCCCTCCTCTTCTCTGTGAGCCAGAGCCATGAGCCTGGTGGGCTCACGGGCTCACGGCTCCGGCTCACGGAGCGTGGCAGCCGACTAGTGCTAACGCTAACAGGAAAGCAGGGAAATAGCTAAACACAGCAGAGACTGAGTGAAAGACATCGCTAAATGCTAAACTAAGTTGGCTGTTTAGGTTTTATTTCCTCGCCCCTGTGGTGAGTGAATCTGCCTGTAGTGAAACGGGGGCTAACCGGGGCTAACGGGTGCTTCCTCCTCAGGCTCTACTTCACTTAGCTGCCAGCACAGCCAGTTAGCCTCCGCTAGCCCCCCAGCTAGCGGGGACTAACCGGTGCTTCCTCCCCAGGCTCCACTTCACTCAGCTGCCAGCACAGCCAGTTAGCCTCCGCTAGCTTCCCAGCTAACGTTAGCCCCGGCTCTCCATTTGGATCCAACCAGAGCACCGAGCCCTGGTTTGTTATACAGGTTAATGTGGGAAGAAGCAGCGGGTATATCGGGCAGCTGAGTGAAGTGGAGCCTGTGGAAGAAACACCGGGACCATCTGGATGTAATAGCCCATGGAGGTGCTGTGGTGATCGGCCGCACAGACAAAGTGAGTGGGGTGGGGGGTGGAGAGCAGAGGTAGAGGGAGGTGTGGCTCATGACACACTTTATTTTGGTCTACAGGCAGTGCACAACAACAAACCTAGCGGTGAAACGATTTCGCTTTTTGCCCCTTTAATAATTGACACTGTTCCCATTTTAGATCCTGTAGCTGCAAAGGATCATTATTAACTATTAATAACACCTTATTAATTTAATCTGATAGGGTCTTATAGTGTCTTATAAACCAGTAATAAATGTGGTTATTGTTCTATAATTAACCCTTATAAATCATAATTAATGTAAATAGACATCTTATTAATTAATATTTAGGGTAGCTTTATAAACTGTTGTCAAGTTTCTTTTAAGTGCTTATAATGCACCTATATGCAATAATAACTGTGTTATTTATGCTATAATTAACACTTATATAGTCTTATTAATGGTAATAAACATCTTATTATGTCTTATAAGTGCTCATTAACTGTTAATTGGTGCTTATTAAGCATTAACGCTTATTACAGTACCTTAATATAAAGTGTTACCCAGCTCATTCTTTTGGTCATTACCCAAAGCTCATGACTATAGGTGAGAGTTGGGGTGTAGATGGACCAATGAATCAAGAGCTTTGCCTTTGATTTAGGACTTGAGTACAAAAATTGAGACTTATTTGTGACATGCAAATTGGTGACTTGTTGTTTATTTAACACACATGCAGAGACATTAAACTTATTTAGAAATACCAGTATCTGTAGTTGAAAAGTGTCACTCCAGGTGCTCATGAGAGTCTGAGCCTTGTTCAAGTCACCATGATACTCACCTCTGTGTTAATCCATCCTGAACTAGGCCTGTCCCATTTCCTCTCAGATCCAACTAATGTGCCAGCTCACTTCTGTTCCCCTCCATTTCTCTGCCATCTTCATCCTGTCTTTCATCTCTCTAACCTCTCCTGCTCCCACTGTCGTGCTCTGTATTAAGATCTATGCGTCTCGGCTGAGAGGGAACGTCCGCCAGGTCGCAAGCTGCTCCGCTTAACCTTCTGTAGTGGCTTGGTGTACTCTGCTCAATCACACACACACACACACACACACACACACACACACACACACACACACACACACCTGCAGGCATGTACAGACATGCACACCAGTGTACAATCACGTGTGCACATTGTGATAGACTGACAAAGATTTAATCTCTCTCTCTCCCTCTCTCTCTCTCTCACACACACACACACACACAGACACACACAAACTGAATCACAAAGGCAGGCAGAAAGGTTACATTGATCTTAGTCATGGGTGAGATTGCAAAAGCCTTCATCCCTCATCTCTATCTCTCTCCGCCTCATTCTCCCTCTCTCCCATTGTATACCTATACCTTGCTCACCCGTGCTTTAGATTCTTTATTTTGGCCCCTTTCTGTCCCTCCCACCACCCTCCCCCTCTCCTGTCCTCCATCACCTGCTTCTGTCTCTGTTTCTCTTTCCTTTTCTTCTCCTTTCCTCTCTTCCTCCTTCATCGTCCTCCTCCTCTCTGAGTGCTGGTAATACTCGCTATAAATCATGGCCACCCTGACACACACATACACACACACACACACACTGCGAGAGCCAGCTGTACATTCCGGAGGCTTGCTTGCATTGCATTAACTATGCATTGGCTCCTTTCATGTATTCTGATGTGTGTGTGGGGTGTGTATGTGTGTGTGTGTGTGTGTGTGTGTGTGTGTGTGACCACAGTAAAGATCCAAATGATTTCGCTTTTCAGTCAAATAGCTGCATTAGTCATCAACATACTTGCACACACACATACACACACACACACACTGAGATAATCATCACATCTTCTAAGACAACACTGAAGTTCCTCCTATAATAACTTGCCACTATTCAACCAGGCCATTGAGTTGGTAGCAGACAGATCTCGGTG